TTCTGTTGATCTCTGTATACTCAGTACTTATCAGACTTAATGATTAATAAATTTTGTTGAAAAAATTTAACGCAAATGGCAACTGCTTTGGGGGCTAGGTTCTTCTGTATCAGACAGAAAATCAGTGGAGACAAGGAATAGTGACATCAGAGACCAACGTATATGCCCTATGTATACGTGGGTATTGAAAAACTCCAATTACCGAAAAGTTATTCTCCTATAAGCTTTTCACTTCCACAGCCTTCTCTTGCCTGGCCTGAATGTCTCCCCCTACACGACACTACTATGTAACAACACAGGCAGAGTCACTATTGCCAAAAGACTCTTGCTAAAATATAATTTGCACCTGGACTAACAGACTAGCATTTCCACATTGTAACAGGCTTAAAAACCTAGTTAAAATGTAAAGGCCCAGAAAGACTGATTCTCAGGAGATGAGCTATGAAATGATGTAGTTCAATGTGTAAAGGTACTGCTAATGCAAAGCTGTGGGGGTCCAAAATAACAATACTGAATGGACTGTAAAACAGGCTATGAGACAGGGGCACAGAAAAATGATGTTCGGCCACCCTTTCAAAGGGACAAAGTGATAAAATGCATCCTCTAATTGCACAAGTCTTTTTTTCTCCATTTACCCCTCATGCCTAAAATTCAAGAGGCTGATATAAAGCCCAACTCTGATAACAGAAGAGTGATTTTAGGGTCTGTGGGCTCGCAGCACCAACTGGCCACCATACCGTAGCCGGTAGCAGCATGAAGCCACTCAGGAAGGGAGTGGGAGAAATGGAAAACATTACTCACCAACAGCAATGAAGAGTAGGCAGTCAGGATCCCAAATAAACTCAGCAAAAGAAGGGACCAGAAGAACCAGAGTCCTGTACCTAGAAAAACGACCCTGCAAAAATGTGTTTCAATCCTTAAAATGTAGCAGAAAATAGTAGCATCTGTGTCGAGAATGGGAGACAAGATTGGACTAGATGAGGCATGAAATCAGAGGAAGATAAGAAGAGAAACAAGTTGGCAAAGCATCTGTGAAGAGCTTTGGGGATATTCAATTAGGAGTTTTAACTTTGTGCTATAAGCAATTGGGTGCTTTAATGGGGGTCTCCCATTCAAGTACTAACCAGGTCTGACCCTGCTTAGCTTAATGGGGTTCTCTATAAGTGGTATGATATTTTAATGTTATTTAGAATATATACTAAAAATGTATGCGCTCTTTAAAAAACAATAATACAGAGATTTTGAAATGCCAAAAGAGAAAAAAATCATCCATAAGTTCACTGCCTTAATAAAAGGAATACTTTCCATTTTGGCAGGTTCCTTGCCA